ACCAAGCACCACGCATGACGCTTTATGTGCATGGGGGCTCGCCCCTCCAAGTAAAGGGCTTAGGGTTGAGGGTTGAGCGTTCCGAAACCTGAAGCCCTAAACCCTAAACCCTAAACCCTAAACCCTAAACCCTAAACCCTAAACCCTAAACCCTAAACCCTAAACCCTAAACCCTAAACCCTAAACCCTAAACCCTAAACCCTAAACCCTAAACCCTAAACCCTAAACCCTTTATAAACCCGAAAGCCTAAACCCTGAACGGCCCATAAGACTGATTGCTGTTGGCCACAGGGGCGTTTGCGAGAGGCCTTGGAGGGTGCAATGGGAGCAGGGGCTGTAGGTAGGGCTGTAGGGCTCTAGAGCTGCGGCTCTAGAGATTTAGGCATTTAGGGTGTTCGGGCCCCCGGAATGCTTTTAGGGTTTCGGGTTTAGCCGTTTCTTTTGTTGTGTGTTCCCCGATTGTGTGCGCTAGAGCGCCCTTCAACAGAATGCGGATGTTTAATTAGGAGGGTCTCTTTGGACATGATACGTTGGGTGTCAGAGGAAGAAGGGTTCTGCTCCGCTTGTTCTCGGGAGGCCGACTCCTTTTTTTCCATTGCCTACTTGTAGCACCCTGGTTATGGATACTTGTGGGCCTGAGCCCTAAGCCCTCCAGAAGTAGGGACATAAGCAGGATAGCGAGGCTAGGGCTTATTTTCGGTTACTTACAAGCCTACTTATAGGTACCCCTGAATCTACAAGTCAGAACCCCCAAACCCTAAACCCCAAACCCCAAACCCCAAACCCCAAACCCCAAACCCGAAACCCTAAACCCTAAACCCCAAACCCCAAACCCCTAAACCCTAAACCCTAAACCCTAAACCCTAAACCCGAACTCTAAGCCAAGATTTCTGAGGACGCTCGTCGACCGGCGGTTCATCGTTGAGGTCGTAGCCCAGCCAGGATGTTTGTTTTTGTCGTAGCGGGGTAACATTTTACATTCTAAGGGACCCTAAACTCAATAAGGAATAGAAGTGTAGATTTTCTATACAATCTCAACCATGAACTAGATTTTGTCGCTCCCAAGGGCTGTACCCTTTCTGGCCATGGTGTTAGGGTTTAGGGTCTATGTTTGCGGGCCGAGTCCGTTTTTGAGGTTCAAGGGGTACTTATATGTAGGGTCACCATGGCTATAGCCCTATTCAGGGCGGCTTATAACCACCCGTGAACCTCTGAGTAGGGCACCATTTTGAAACTGTGGCTGAAGGGGTTCATAAGTTGGAGAGCTGACCGCGTGCATCCAGTGTTGTTCCGTCGCGCACCAAATTACACCCAAATCCTAAACCCCAAGCCCTAAACCCTCAACCCTAAACCCTAAATCCTAAACCCTAAGCCCTAAACCCTAAATCCTAAACCCTAAAGAACCAAACCCCCCCCCCCCCCCCCCTTCTCCTCTCCGGCTTGACCAAGGACAACCGGACAGAGGAGAACATGATCCTGGATGGGGAACTGTTCGAGTCGGGGGGATGGCAGCGGAAGGAGAACAGCTTGAAGTCGAAGGAGGCTGGATTTAGGGTTTAGGGTTTAGGGTGTAGGGTTTAGGGTTTAGGGTTTAGGGTTTAGGGTTTAGGGTTTAGGGTTCAAGGTTTCTAGGGTTTAGGGTTTGGGGCTTGGGGCCTAGGGTTTAGGGCTTGGAGTCTAGCGGTTTTAGGGTACTTCTAGGTAGGGTTTCAAGTGGGGCGACTTCGTGCTCTAGCTTTATTTCCGGTGCTTGTATCCCTACTTATAGGTGCCCCGAAACCCTAAACCCTAAACCCTACACCCTGAACCCTGAACCCTGAACCCTAAACCCTAAACCCTAAAAACCTTCAAGCAAGCTTCTGGACAAGGTGACCAAGCTCGAGTTCGTCAGCACCGAGGTTTTCCATGGCCTTTCTGGTCTGTTGTGGTATGTGAGCGAGAAGAGCTTGGACACTAGGTAGGACCCTGTCACATTTTCTGGTCCTCTTGGTTGGGTGGAAGAGGAAGTTTCATTGGACATTGGAATTCTTTGCTCCAGGGGTTTTAGAGGATCTTGTCTAGGAATCTTTGCTTCAGCAAGGGTTTGCACGGAAGCCTCAGCCCTCACTCCTAAACCCGAAACCCTAAACCCTAAAACCCAAACCCAAGCCCCAAACCCGAAACCCTAAACCTTAAACCCTAAACCCCAAACCCTTAACCCCCAAACACTAAACCCCAAACCCTAAACCCTTAACCCTTAACCCCAAACCCTACACCCTAAACCCTAAACCCTAAACCCTAAGCCCTAAGCCCTAAGCCCGAAGCCCTAAACCCTACACCCCAACCCTAAACCCCAAACCCTAACCTCTAAACCTTATCCCTTAACCCCAAACCCTAAACCCTAAACCCCAAACCCTAAACCCTAAACCCAGGACACCTACTTCAGCCTCGTCTTCTCCAACCCCATCGCCAACAGCGCGACCTTCAACGCCTGGGCCGGCCCTCCACCTGCCGAGCTCATGCAGGAGATGTGGGTTTAGGGTTTAGGGTTTAGGGTTTAGGGCTTAGGGTTGAGCGGGTTTAGGGGGTAGGGGTTTAGTTAGGGGAGTTAGGGAGTTTAGGGGGTTTCGGAGGTTTAGGCGGTTTAGGGTCTAAGGGTGTTTAGGGTTTAAGAGGTAGAAGGGTTTTGGGGTCTGAGGTTTACGGCTTAAGGCTTTCGGGTTCAGGGTTTTAGGCCTTTGAGGGTTTTAAGGGTGTAGGAGTCAGGGTGTTAGGGTTTTTCAGGTTTTTGGGGTTTGAAGGCCTCAATCCCTAAACCCTAAACCCTAAACCCTAAACCCTAAACCCTTTTTGGCTTGCAGGAGATGTGGGCCGCACCGCCGATTCCCGAGAAGGGTGTGCAGGTGCCACCAGGAACCGGCTGTGCTTGGAACGTCTTGGAGTTCCTCGGGCGCGGTTTGGGGTTTAGGGTTTCGGGTTTCGTTTCGGGTTTAGGGTTTAGGGTTTAGGGTTTAGGGTTTAGGGTTTAGGGTTTAGGGTTTAGTGTTTTGTTGGTTTAGGGTTTAGGGTTTAGGGTTTAGGGTTTAGGGTTTGGGGTTTGGGGTTTGGGGTTTAGGGTTGAGGGACAATGAGTTGGAGGGTGTAGGGCTTAGGGGGGTGGGGGGTTTAGGGGAGTTTAAAGGGGTCAGGAGGTTAAGGGGCAACCCCAAACCCTAAACCCTAGACCCTAAACCCTAAACCCTAAACCCTAGAGCCGTAACCCTAAACCCTAAACCCTAAACCCTAAACCCTAAACCCTAAACCCTAAACCCTAAACCCTAAACCCTAAACCCTAAACCCTAAACCCTAAAAGAAGCCCAGGCAGGGCAACATCATCCACATCCGCATCATCATCTTGGAGGAACTTTCGCCCATGGACGCGGCAGCCTACCCACCCAGCCCTATGGTGGAAGCCCCGGCGCCTAAGGAGGTGCCACAGGGGGGGGGGGACGAAAGGAAGGGTGTTTAGGGTTTAGGGTTTAGGGTTTAGGGGTTAGGGGTTGGGGGTTAGGGGTTTAGGGTCTTGGGGCTTTCGGTTTTGCTGCCCTCTCTCTGAAAGGCCGATGGAGCCATGAGCCCTTTTGCCGTGCATGTCGCCCTAAACCCTAAACCCTAAACCCTAAACCCTAAACCCTAAACCCTAAACCCTAAACCCTAAACCCTAAACCCTAAACCCTAAACCCTAAACCCTAAACCCTAAACCCTAAACCCTAAACCCTAAACCCTAAACCCTAACCTAAACCCTAAACCCTAAACCCTAAACCCTAAACCCTAAACCCTAACCTAAACCCTAAACCCCCTAAACCCTAAACCTAAACCCTAAACCCTAAACCCTAAACCCTAAACCCCTAAACCCTAAACCCTAAACCCTGAACCCTGAACCCTGAACCCTGAACCCTGAACCCTAAACCCTAAACCCTAAACCCTAAACCCTAAACCCTAAACCCTAAGCCAGGTGCAGCCAACGCCAGCTCCGGCGGGCGAGCCCGCCCTCTCCCAGTCCACGGCAATGGTCCCCGTCGCCCCCAAAGAAGAGGAGGAAGGCGCCACCTCTGTGGACAAGCTCCTGGGCTTTTTTGGGTTTAGGGTTTAGGGTTTAGGGTTTAGGGTTTAGGGTTTAGGGTTTAGGGTTTAGGGTAACTAGGACCCAGAGTAGGCCCTTATTCCAAGGTGTTAAGGCTTAGGTTTCCTTTAACCCCCCTTTAGGCCAAAAATGACACCCTTGTTTATTCCTAGCTTAGTCTGTGGCCTGGGTAGACACCTCGGGCTTATAGGGCTCAGGTGGTCTTTGAGCCAATTATCCCCTGACCATGCCTTCTTGGGTTCTCAACTTCTACCCGAAGTACGCATTCCTGTAAGCGCAGGTTCCTTCTTTTCTACATCACACATCCAACCAAAGCCCCTCAGGTACTACTAGAGCTGACCCTAAACCCTAAACCCTAACCCTCAGCATTGAAGCCTAGCTGAGGTTTTTGAGTTCCACCCGGCCGCGCGACGTTTTCGATGGCGTCGGGAGTGGCCTCAAGGTTGGGGGCAAACCCTAAGCCCTACACTTTAGGGTTTAGGGTTTCGGGTTTAGGGTTTAGGGTTTAGGGCTACCCTAAGAACGCCCCTGGAACCTTGAGCTGTCAAGCTCTCCAAAGGTGCTTGGGGGCGTTCGTGGGGTACCTTTATGCGCGTAGGGCTGCAGTAGGGCATCTGTAGCCATAGTCGTTCATAGCCTTCTTTGGGGTTTAGGGCTTAGGGTTTCAAAGAGCCCTTGGGTACTTCTGAGCACCCTAGGCACCTCCGAGTAGCTTCGTTGAGGATGATACTCCTTGAGGGTTAGCGGTTTCGAGACGACGACTGGGATGGCCAGTAGCACACTTATCTGCATTTTTTGAGGTGGTAAGGTTCCCTTATAGTTGCACCACACAAGCAAGACAAGAAGGGGACGCCTTTTTATCTCATAGGTTCCTTCCTTTTGCAGCCTCCACGTCTGGCGGTCCCTTGCCGGGTTTAGGTTTTCGGGTTGTTAGGTCTCTACATCCCTAGATGCGCTACCAACAATTTTCAGAGGCCTTCCAAACGTCGCCTAAAGTGGCCTTGCGGAACCCGGCGAACCCCTACAAAAACGAAGCTGAAACTCAAAGCCCCGATAAAACTCACACATACACACAGCGCTACAACACTTTTTTTTTGCAAGCATACAGAAACCCAAAACCCAAAACCCAAAACCCAACACCCTAAACCCTAAACCCTAAACCCTAAACCCTAAACCCCCAAATCCCTGGACTTTGTTCCCAAAAACAAACGAGAAAGCCCCTGTGAACCGGAGCTGAGCCCTAAGCTCTAAACCCTAAACCCTGAATCCCAACCCTTCCCTAAACCCTTCCCTAAAGCCTAAACCTTAAACCCTAAACCCTAAACCCTAAACCCGAAACCCGAAACCCTAGACTGACCCGGCAGGTGGCCGGCGCGGCCGTGGTCGCGGGCACCGGCGCGCTGATCGCCGCACCAGTCCTGGGCGCCAGAGAGGAGGCCTTTTGCTTAGGGGGGTTGTAGGTGTTGGCTTCTAAGGTGTGTCCCTAAACCCTAAACCCTAAACCCTAAACCCTAAACCCTAAACCCTAAACCCTAAACCCTAAACCCGAAACCCTAAACCCTAAACCCTAAACCCTAAACCCTAAACCCTAAACCCTAAACCCTAAACCGTGGCCTCAAGTTTTAAGGCCTCAGCTTTAACGCCCTAACCTCTGAATCTGCCTCCAGCCCTTGCTTTCTCAAGCCCTTACACTCCTCATGGTTGTTTTTCTCTAAGCTGAACCCTGAACCCTAAATCCTAAGCCCTAAACCCTAAACCCTAAATCCTCAACCCTAAACCCAAAACCCGAAACCCTAAACCCTAAACCTTAAACCCTAAACTGCTCACGCCGCAGGGCGTCAGCGGCTTCTTCAAGGGCCTCGCCACGGGCGCCTTTGGGGCCATTGCCGTGACCCTGGGCGGGGCGGTCGCGGGCGCCACGCAGATCGCGCGGGGCGTCTACAACACCCCCGAGGCCGTCCGCCACATGGGGCAGTTGTGGAAACTAGGGTGTAGGGTTTAGGGTTTAGAGTTGAGGGTTTAGGGTTTAGTGTTTCCTTTTTTCGGGTCCTTATAAGGGGATCCTATTATTTGGGTATCTAAATTGGGGGTGCCCTATTTTCGTAAACCACGGTCCCTTTTTTGGGGCGGTGTAAAGGGTGCCGCACCACATAGGGGACGCAAAAAGAGACCCTAAGTTAAAGCGACCCACATTTCTCGAGGGTGTAGGGTGGAAGGTCTTTCTTCATAGAGCCCTGCACCCGAAACCCTAACCCTAAACCCTAAACCCTAAACCCTGAATCCTATACCTTATGCATACACCCTAGACCCTAAGCCCTAAAGGCTAGTTGGGCCCTTGGGGGAGATTTTGCATTTTCGTTTTGGGGGTTTCAACACAAGAAATCAGGCCCAGACCCAAACCTCCCAAACCCTCAACCCCGCACCCTATTCAAGACCTTCGACGCGTCGTCCTAGACCCCAAACCCTCAACCCTCAACCCTCAACCCTCAACCCTCAACCCTCAACCCTCAACCCTCAACCCTCAACCCTCAACCCTCAACCCTCAACCCTCAACCCTCAACCCTAAACCCTAAACCCTAAACCCCAAACTCAAAGGGACTAAAGTAGGGACCCTTGTCAGGAACCTTCGGGGTTATTTGCGGAGGAGGTAGAGGGGTTATACAGGGGAATAAGATTAAGGGTCCCTTCTAGGGGTCCCTCCTTATACCACAAGCTGAGCCCCTAAACCCCTAAACCCCTAAACCCTAAACCCTAAACCCTCAACCCTCAACCCTAAACCCTAAACCCTAAACCACCGCTCCGGAGGCTCTTTCGAATGCCCTTCAGGCCAACAAGCGCTGGGACGCTGAGTCGGGCTTGTGGGTGGACGACTGCTGCAACCTGCTCCTGGGCTGCAGGGTTTAGGGTTTAGGGTTTAGGGTTTAGGGTTTAGGGTTTAGGGTTTCAGGTTTAGGGTTTTGGAAGGATTCCTTGATTACAAGGTGCCGAATAAGGAAGCCCTAAACCCTATACCCTAAACTCTAAACCCTAAACCCTAGCCCCTAAACCCTAAAGCCTATTTTCGGCAAGCCCCTAATTTCGGACAACCCCACCCAAGGCGCCAGGAGTCTCAGGAGGCCGCGGCCATCGGGGAGGAGTCCTCCGATGAGGAGGTGCCAGACGACGGGCGGCCGGCTCGGAAGGCGGCGGCGCGTTTTTTTTTTTTTTTTTTTGGTTTTTGGTTTTTGTGTGTTATTTCATTTTATGTTTTTGTTTTTATTGTAATACTTTTTGTTTTGTTTTAGGCCAAGACCCTGACCCTACACCCTCAACCCTCAAACCCCAAAACCCATCCCCACTAGGGATGAGGTTTCGGGTGTGCGTGTTCTTGTTTAAGGGGGGGCTCCTGGGTCCTAGGCGTTCTAGGTTTACAGGCAGAAGTTTATATATGTATACCGGTTTCGGGTTCAGGGTTTAGGTTTGCTTCTTCTCGTTCGTGTTTTTATCTCGGTTCCCTATTAGGGTTTAGGGTCTAGGTTTAGGGTTCGAGGTTTTGAAGCGTTTTCGGGCTGGAGGGTCTGGGGTTAAGGGGTTTTTGATTGCTTGGGGTTTAGGACTTTGGGGCTGTAGCTGGCTGCGGTTGAGTGTTTGGCCACGGGCTTAGAGGCTTAGGGGTTTCAGTGGTTGGGCTCGGGCTCAGGGTTTAGGGTTCAGGGTTCAGGGTTCAGGGTTCAGGGTTGAGGGTTGAGGGTTTAGGGTCTACAGGGTCCTGAACCCTACGTTTGTCGAGGGGGCCGGCCTGTTTTGCTTCGCCTTAAATCTTGGATATAAACCCTAAACCCTAAACCCTAAACCCTAGACCCTCAACCCTAAACCCTAGACCCTAGACCCTAAACCCTAAACCCTAAACCCTCAACCCCAAACCCTAAACCCTGCAGGCCCTGAGGCCCTAAGCCCTAAGCCCTAAGCCCGAATTTGCCTAAGCCCTCAAGCCTAAGCCGTCGACCCGACCTACATGAACCCTAAACCCCTCAAACCCCCTAAACCCCCCCTAAACCCCCTAAACCCCCTAAACCCCAACGGGTCTGGGGTTTAGGGTGTCAGGTGGCGGACACCAGCTTCTACGACATCCTTGAGGTCAAGCCCAATGCCACCGCGGCAGAGATCAAGAAGAATTACTACAAGGCAAGAAGTAGGGTTTAGGGTTTAGGGTTTCGGGTTTGGGGTTTGGGGTTCAGGGTTTGGGGTTTAGGGTTTAGGGGTTTGGGGTTTGGGCGGTTTAGGGTTTTTTTGGTTTACCCGGTTTAGGGTTTGGGGCTTAGGGGTTCCCTATGTCAGCCCTTAAACGATGTATGTAGGGGGATAAGGAACCTCAAAGCCTAAAGCCTGACAGCCTGCCCTGAATCCTGAACCCCCTAAACCCCTCAGCCCCAAACCCTAAACGCTAAGCCCTAAGCGCGAACAACCCTAAAACCCTGAACCCTAAACCCGAAGCCCTGAACCCTAACACCCTAGACCCTGAGCCCTACACTCACTTCGGGTTTGCGGCTTGAGGCGTTCAGCGCCATGGGGTTTAGGCATTCGGGTTCAGGGTTTAGGGTTACGGTTTAGGGTTTAGGGTTTAGGGTTTAGGGTTTAGGGTTGAGGGTTGAGGGTTGAGGGTTTAGGGTTTAGGGTCTAGGGTTATCGCTGCCTCCTACATCCAAACCCCAGATCTCGGAAGCCCTGGATACAACCCAACCGGGCCCGAAGCCCTTTAAACGTTTAGGGTTTAGGGTTTAGGGTTGAGGGTTTAGGGTTTGGAGAGCCTTTCCGGGTCATTAGGGTTTGCGGTTTAGGGTTTAAGGCTTTAGGGGTTTAGGCTTTAGAGGTTATCAGGGTTTAGGGGTTCAGGGTTTCGGGTTGGGAGTTGGGATGCTCACCCTTATCGTACCCCTGACTGTAATTCCTATTCAGGACTGTTAGTATAAGGGGGACACATCTAGGGTTTAGGGTCTGGGGTTTAGGGCTTACAGGGTTTAGGGTTTAGGGTTTAGGGTTTAGGGTTTAGGGTTTAGGGTTTAGGGTTTAGGGTTCTGGGCTGCAGGTGGCCCTGAAGCTGCACCCGGACAAGAACCAGAACGATCCGGAGGCTTTCGGTCCGGGGGGCTGCGAAGGCTTAGGGTTTAGGGTTTAGGGTTTAGGGTTTAGGGTTTAGGGTTCAGGGTTCAGGGTTCAGGGTTTAGGGTTTAGGGTTTAGGGTTTAGGGTTTAGGGTTTAGGATTTCAAGGTTGGAATGTGGTGCAGATAGGGTTTGGGGTGCAGGGTCTTAGGATTCGGGGCTTGAGGGTTTCAGGGTTTGAGGCTGTTGGGGGATTGAGGGATTTCATCGACTACCCGTCTCCAAGACCAAAAGACATGCCATTTTTGGAAATAGGGATTCTACGAAGAGTTGAGTTTGGGGATCGCGCATGTTTCCCCAAACCCTCTACTCCCTAAACCCTAAACCCTAATTCGCCCTTACCTATATACACAATCCTTAAACTCTTCGTTGGTAATAATAGGCACAAAGGTTCGTGGGCATGGGCACAATAGTTCGTGGGCAAATACGCAACGGTTCGTGGGCATAGACGCGCCTCTTGACTTACCTTTATGCAGGCACCACAGTTCGTGGGGATAGGCACAACGGTTCGGGCATAGGCACAACGGTTCGTGGGCGTGGACAGGGCGGTTCGTGGGCATAGGCACGGATCGCGGGAATAAGCTGTTTGTGGCATAGGCACAGGGGGGTACTCAGGTCCCAAGAGGGTCTTAGCAGGGTCGCAGCTAGGTCCCAGGGTGTGTGGTGGCCGGTATATTTTTGGGCGGGTGCTTCAAGGCTCAGGGTTTCGATTTCTAGGTTCATGGATTGAATGCATGTGCCCCTCACTAGCTGCTTGTCGAGTGAAATCTAGAACATGAGACGTTGAAGCCCTGAACCCTAAACCGTAAACCGTAAACCGTAAACCCTAAACCCTAAACCCTAAACCCTAAACCCTTAACCCTTAACCCTTAACCCTAAACCCGAAAGCGCTTTGGAAAGGCCAGCGTGAAGTTCCAGAAGCTGGCCCAGGCGTACCAGGTCATCCTTCCTGGACAGAAGAAGGGCTTAGGGTTTAGGGTTTAGGGTTTAGGGTTTATGGTTTAGGGTTTGGGGATTCTTAAGCCCAGCGCCTCTAAAGCCCTATAAATCCTCTGCACCCCCAAAACCCCTATAACACCTAAGAACCCTCTAAACCCTTTCAATCCTCTCAGCCCTTTCAACCCTCTCAACCCTCTAAACCCTCCACCCTAAGCCCTAACCCTCGCTTCCAACCGAAAGCCTAAACCCCAAACCCCAAACCCCAAACCCCAAACCCCAAACCCTAAACCCTAAACCCTAAACCCTAAACCCTAAACCCTAAACCCTAAACCCTAAACCCTAAACCCTAAACCCTAAACCCTAAACCCTAAACTCCGAACCCTAAACCCTAAACCCTAAACCCTAAACCCTAAACCCTAGACCCTAAACCCTAAACCCTAAACCCTAAACCCTAAACCCTAAACCCAAAACCCTAAACCCTGAACCCTAAACAGCCAGGTCTTGAGCGACCCGAAGCTTCGGGAGAAGTACGACGTGAACGGAGCCGACGCGATCCGAGACCAAGCGGCTTGCCTCACAGGGTTTCAGTGTTTAAGGGTTTAGGGTTTAGGGTTTGGGGTTTGGGGTTTAGGGTTTGGGGTTTAGGGTTTGGGGTTTAGGGTTTAGGGTTTAGGGCTTCGAGGGTGTTTTTGGGACGGGATCCACAATTTTATTCGAAGGGCTGCTGCAATTATCCCCCGCTAGTGGTCTTAGGATTCCCCTTTTGGGGGGAGGTCTCCGGGTTCCCTATGAGGCTACGCAGCACCACTGAAAACCACTGAAAGTTAGGTGGTGCACATCCTTCCTATGAATATTGGTGTGTGTACATCCTCGAGGTCCCTAAACCCGAAACCCTGAACCCTGAACCCTAAACCGTACACTCTACACCTTAGTAACAAAGGTATTTATGGTGTTTAACACGTAGGGCCGTCCTCCCGTCGTTTCCGTTGGTAAGCTCACTATTTGTGTTACAGACCCTACACCCTAAACCCCAAACCCCAAACCCTACACCCTAAACCCTAAACCCCAAACCCCAAACCCCAAACCCCAAACCCTAAACCCTAAACCCTAAACCCTAAACCCTAAGAGCCGGAGCCCCAATTCCCAAGCCCAGCTGGAGACGTGGCAGGCGCTCCCCAACATCGATCCAGGGCTCTTCTTCAGCATGCTCTTCGGGGCGGAGCAGTTTGAGAAGCACCCTGGCGAGCCTCTTAAACCCTAGGCCCTAAGCCCTAGACCCTAACCCTAAACCCTAAACCCTAAGCCCTAAACCCTAAACCCTAAACCCTCACTACTAAACCCTGGACCCAGACTAGTTTCTGGGTTCTGGCGTTCTCCTGGTGTGGGGGGGGCTTAGAGTTTCAGGGCGGGCTTTAAGTGTTTTAGGGTCTAGGGTCTAGGGTAGTGACATGGTCCCCTAATATGGGCACTTAATTGCGAGACCCTTATGTGCCCCTTACAAACCCCGTGTAACTTGCCTTGGAGTGCTTTAGGCATCAAGTTTTCCCCCCGCCCCCCCCCCCCCCCTCTCATGGTTCAAGAATGCGCAGGCCGCCATATTCTGTATATCTCTGCTGCAGTCTTTCCCTCCGGAGACAAGACATATCAGTGCATCCTGGTTCCACTTCTTGCCACTGCTGAGTTTCGTCAGATTCAACCTTTGCCACGTGGCAAAGCCAGCCCAAATGGGCAGACGGAGACATTTTGCTTCAGGGTTTAGGGTTTAGGGTTTAGGGTTTAGGGTTTAGGGTTTAGGGTTTAGGGCTTAGGGTTTAGGGCCAACTCGAACACTGGAGAACCACCGGGGTGCGTGGGCCAGAGGGTCCGTGCTGCCGAGAGACCTGCCGCAGTACATCGAGCGTTGCTTCCGTGCCTAGAAGAAGCCTTGGTTAGAAATGAATCCGGTTTAGGGTTTAGGGTTTAGGGTTGAGGGTTGAGGGTTGAGGGTTTAGGGTTTAGGGTTTAGGGTTGAGGGTTTAGGGTTTGGGGTTGGCTCAACACTCTGCACCCTTCGTAAGACCCTCAGCACTACATCAAAACTTAAATCCAGGCAGTACAACTTGTCCCTAAACCCCAAATCCTAAACCCCAAACCCTGAAAGCTCTGAACTCTCCTTGGAGGTTAGAATGCACGCGGAAATAAGCCCGCTTCTGAGTTCCCATGAACCTCTAGGTGGGCCCCGAACCCGAAATCTTAAACCCTAAACCCTAAACCCTAAACCCTAAACCCTAAACCCTAAACCCTAAACCCTAAACCCTAAACCCTAAACCCTAAACCCTAAACCCTAAACCCTAAACCCTAAACCCGAAGAGCTAAACCCTCAACCCAGAACCCTGAACTTCTGAAAGGTACATCGGAAAGCTCTACCTGGCCATGCAGACTGACCACATCGCGAGGGACTTGCAGAAGGATTTCGAACGGCACCAGTGGCCTGTGCTTGAAGAACCCTGATCTCCCACTGGGCACCCCAAAGTCCCTAAACCCCAAAACCCAAAACCCAAAACCCTAAACCCTAAACCCTAAACCCAAAACCCTAAGCCCTAAACCCTAAACCCAAAACCCTAAACCCTAAACCCTAAGCCCTAAACCGAGGCAGGGCGGCCAGGAGGGCGTCCCAGGCCGCGACGTCATCGGCAACTCCATCGAGCGGGAGATGCGCTGGGGCTCCGAGAAGCTGGGCCTTCCCAGTGATAGGGGTTTAGGGTTTGGGGTTTGGGGTTTGGGGTTTAGGGTTTGGGGTTTAGGGTTTAGGGTTTGGGGTTTGGGGTTTGGGGTTTGGGGTTTAGGGTTTGGGGTTTAGGGTTTAGGGCTACGTTCCCTTCTTCTTGAACGGTGAAGGAGGATTCATTTTTTCTCCTAAGCCCTAAGCCCTCAAACCTAGACCTGACTTAGGAAGAAGGACCAGCACATCAAGCGGCAGCAGTTCGTGCGGGAGGCGGCAGGGCATGCAACGACAGACCTTTCCAAGTTTGCCACGCTGTACGGTTTGGGGTTTCGGGTTTCGGGTTTAGGTTTTAGGTTTTAGGGTTTAGGGCTTGCAGGTTCATGTAGAGGTATTTCTAAGTAGTAGGATTACTGTAGAAGTACCTAAACAAGGGGACCACCACCAGTTATAAACCCTAAACCCTAAACCCTAAACCCTAACCCTAAACCCTAAACCCTAAACCCTAAACCCTAAACCCTAAACCCTAAACCCCAAACCCCAAACCCCAAACCCCAAACCCCAAACCCCAAACCCCAAACCCTAAACCCTAAACCCTAAACCTCTACTTCTCAGCACCCATGAACGTCCAAAGAAGTGTCCCTAAACACGCAGCTTCCACTGGGTGCCTCCTTCAACCCTAAGTTTCAGGGGTGTGGGGTTTAGGGTTTAGGGTTTAGGGTTTAGGGAGACCAGAACCCAAAGCCCCAATTGGGCGAACCCGGCGAGCCAGGTGACTTGCGCCACGCAGCTTGTGGGACGACTGGATCGATGGGCCGCTTTTGCATCCGAAGCCCCTAAACCCTAAACCCTAAACCCTAAACCCTAAACCCTAAACCCTAAACCCTAAACCCTAAACCCTAAACCCTAAACCCTAAACCCTAAACCCTAAACCCTAAACCCTAAACCCTAAACCCTAAACCCTAAACCCTAAACCTTAAACGACAAATCCTAGGCCATGGAGCAGTGCTTCGTTGGGGTTTAGATGTTTTGGTTTTTATACCGGTTTCACATGTAAAGAAGGCAATGCACATGAATGCATAAATCTTTGTATATATTATATAATATATATTTATATGTATATACACATACAAGCACCAGTACCATGATCAAGCAAGCATGCGCTTGATGCCCCAGAGGTTGCGAGAGAAAACATTATCTTTCCAAGCACAATCCACAACGCTTATCCCGCAGTGAATATGAGGGTGGATGGGGCAGAATGGGTGTTAGGGCTTAGGGCACCGTAAAAAAAGCTTCAGTTAGGGCTTACATAGCTGTTGGGGTTAAGGGCTGATCGTTCCCAAAGGAGATAGAACCCAAGGTGTCCAGTATTTTTGGAATCAAACCCCAATCCCCAATCCCCAATCCCCAATCCCCAAACCCCAAACCCCAAACCCCAAACCCCAAACCCCAAACCCCAAACCCCAAACCCCAAACCCGAAACCCGAAACCCTAAACCCTAAACCCTAAACCCTAAACCCTAAACCCTAAACCCTAAACCCTAAACCCTAAACCCTAAACCCCAGGTCATGGGCCGGAACATGGAGGGCTGGACGAAGAGCGTCCTCAAGGAGACGGCTGAGCTGGCCCAGGTGCGGCAACGAGGGGTTCTGGGTAGGGTTTAGGGTTTAGGGTGTATGGGGCTTAGGGTTTAGGGTTTAGGGTTTGGGGTTTAGGGTTTAGGGTTTAGGGTTTAGGGTTTAGGGCTTAGGGTGCCTTAACTTCTATACAGGTTCTTCGCCTGGAAGGAGAGAAGCAGGTCCCTGAAACCCTAAGCCCAACTTTTCCTTGAGCCCCGGCTTTAAATCCTAAGCCCTTAAGCCTACACAAATCCTGAACCCTAACCCTTAAATTCCTACACGCCTTAACCCAAAAACCCTAAGCCCTAAAACCCAATCCCCTAAGCCCGCTAGAAGTCCTACCACGGCCCCATCCGACACCTTCGCGCTGGGGAGGTGTCCTTCGGCGGCCGGCTCCTTCGGACGATCGGCTGGGTCTACGAGCCTTGGGCTTGCTTAAGTCGACGCCTTTCACCCTGAGCCCTAGACCCGAAACCCTAAACCCTAAGCCCCAAACCCCAAACCCCAAACCCCAAACCCCAAACCCCAAACCCCAAACCCCAAACCCCAAACCCCAAACCCCAAACCCTAAACCCTAAACCCTAAACCCTAAACCCGCAACCTTAAGTTGGATAAACCCTCAGCCCTAAACTCCAAATCCTCAGCTGGAGGCCTTGGGGTTCAGGGTTTCAGTATCGAAGCTTCCGGTTAGCGTTTAAATGGTCCCTACACCTTGGCTTCCCGTGCAAGACATCTGCTCTTTTCGAGCGTTTTCTCAAAAATCCCGCACACCGTAAGTTGGGGTTTAGGGTTTAGGGTTTAGGGTTTAGGGTTTAGGGTTTAGGGTTTAGGGTACCCTACACCCTAAACCCCCTCACACCCCCAAAGCCTAGCGCCCCTCAAGTAAGGAGTGTGCTGCGGACCAGTACCTGACCTGTCTCTGGGGCAACTTCACGGTTGCTCGGAGCTGGATTTGGGGGGGGGCTTCATGGGCACGTATATTTGTAAGTAGTTTTTAGGGTCTCGGGTCTTGGGTCTAGGATTTAGGGTTTAGGGTTTTGGGCTTGCGGGTTTGGGGTTTCGGGTTTTCATTTTAGAGTGGAGTGGGGGGGGGGGTGGGTGGGGGCGGTTCGGGCGTGCGTGGCTTTCCTACTGTTTCTGTTCGGTTACGTGGCTTTCTTCTCTTTCTCAAGGAGGGCGACGGAAGCCGAAGCCGTAAATCCTTAGGCCTTAAACCGTCAAAGCAGGGACCTACAAAGCCCTGAACTGTATCGACCCCAAATCTTAAAGCTCAAAACAAGATACACGACCCTAGCCTGCTAAGCCCCTCCCCGCCCCAGCCCCCTTCTCGTACAACTGTTTAGGGTTTACTTAGGTTTCGGGGATAATAAGCCCGTCAGCCCTATAGCACCCGAAGCCATAAACCCTAACCCTAGACCTTAAACCCCAAACCCCAAACCCCAAACCCCAAACCCCAAACCCCAAACCCCAAACCCCAAACCCCAAACCCCAAACCCCAAACCCCAAACCCTAAACCCTAAACCCTAAACCCTAAACCCTAAACCCCGAAGCCCCGAAATTGAGGTCGATGGCCACCTGCAATCCTGGAGAGACAGCGCCCACTCCACCTCCGTCAAGGCCAACGCCGTCTCCTCAATGGCCCGGTCTGCTCTTGCCGTGCCCTGGCGGAGGGTTTGGTTTAGGGTTTAGGGTTTAGGGTTTAGGGTTTAGGGTTTAGGGTTTAGGGTTTAGGGTTTAGGGTTTAGGGTTTAGGGTTTAGGGTTTAGGGTTTAGGGTTTGGGGTTTGGGGCTTGGGGTTTAGGGTTTAGGGCTTGAGGTGTTTTGAGGCATACTTTGGAGGTTCATGGGTATTTATAAGTAGGGATACAAGCAAGGTCTCTGTAGTCGGAAATAGTTGTAACCTACTCATAACCCTGCTACTAAGTCGGGCTCATGGGTTTAGATTTAAGGGTTAGGGGTCCTCAGGGTTTCATGTTCACGAAATTTTGTATGGCAACTACCCTAAACCCTAAACCCTAAACCCTAAACCCTAAACCCTAAACCCTAAACCCTAAACCCTAAACCCTAAACCCTAAACCCTAAACCCTAAACCCTAAACCCTAAACCCTAAACCCTAAACCCTAAACCCTAAACCCTAAACCTAACCCTAAACCCTAAACCCTAAACCCTAAACCCTAAACCCTAAACCCTAAACCCTAAACCCTAAACCCTAAACCCTAAACCCTAAACCCTAAACCCTAAACCCAAACCCCTAAACCCTAAACCCTCAACCCTAAACCCTAAACCCTAAAACCTAACCAGTGCCGGCAGCTCCAGGTCAAGGAGATGACGGATGCGGCTGGGGCGGGTATGTCCGACGAGGACCTGACTGCCACAATGTGATGTGAGGAGGGTTTAGGGTTTAGGGTTTAGGGTTTAGGGTTTAGGGTTTAGGGTTTAGGGTTTGGGATTTAGGGTTTCGGGGGTAGGGTTTCCCTACTAACCCCCCCCCCCCCCCGGTAGGTTCCCCCTTAAATAACCTGGGTTAGGCTTATTATCCCCAAATAGCCGCAATTGGGGGGAACCTAGGTAGTAGAGTGCAGGGACCCCCCCCCCCCAGTCCCACGACTCAGGGTTTAGGGTTTGGGGTTTGGGGTTTGCGGTTCCTAAACCCTAACCCAAAACCCTAAACCCAAAACCCTAAACACGAAACCCTAAACCCTGAACCCTGTTCCGCCCCTTAAATGCGAGGATCAGACCAAGCGCGACGAGGCAGCCCGCCAGGCGCTGACGTCCTTCGAGGGTTCCCTCCCCGTGTTCCTGCAGACCATTTGGGACGTGTCGCAGATGGCCGCTGGGTTTCGGGTTTAGGGTTTAGGGTTTAGGGTTTCGGGTTTAGGGTTTAGGGTGTAGGGGTTTAGGTGTTGAGCGTTTTAGGGGTTTATGGTTTCAGGGGTCTAGGGTTTAGGGCTTGCACCGTAAAGGCAGAGCTAGCCACAGCTGCAAGCTAGCAAAAGCCTTATGAGCCCTAAACCCTAACATCCTAACCCTAAATCCTACTATGACATATGAACCCTACACAAGAACCCAACATTTAGAACCCCACCCACTTAGCCCTAAGCCTTTCGATTCTGCACCTCTTCACGAGCCGAGGACATCGAGAGCACGTTGTACAAAGTTTGCGACAAAGTTCTCAAGGACATCCTTGTACTTTTTCCTTTAAGTGATGTTACGTTACAATAACCATAATTATGATGTATTGTACTGCTCACACTCTCTTTCACCTCTTCACCTCTTTCTCCTTCGCTGCCTTTACTTTACCCTAAACTCTCAACCCTCAACCCTAAACCCCCAAAACCCTGAACGGGCCCAATCCTCTGTGAACCCACGGGCCCTCACAAGGACATCAGCGTGCCGTGGCAGATTCGCTACCGGCGCGCGCTGGCACTGAAGCGTCTGGGCCAGATGTTTCGAGACGCAGGACCGGAGCCCCCAACCCCTACCTGAGAATGTTTTCTAGTAGTAACCTACAACAAGGTAGGGTTTGGGGTTCTTCAGTGATTCTTCAGGCATGCTAGACACCCGGTTGAGGGTTTAACGGTTTGAGGATTCAGAAACCAAGGGAGGGCGGAACAACATCTTTACAACGTTAGGCGTTAGGATTTAGGCTCGAGGTTTCACGACGGTTTAGGCTCAGGGTTTGGTTGGAGGCTTTACTAGTATATAGGGCTTAAGGGTTCAGGCTTTGGGTTAGTTATTCAGGAATTGGAGGTTTCTGTTGCGAGAAGTGTCCTGGTTTCCGTTGTAGGTTTCGTTGGCTTTCTGTTACACCCTCGCCTGGTGTTCGTTACATCTTCCTTGCTTTCGGTTACGGTTGCCGGCCTGGTTTTCGTTACACCCCTTTTTTGCTTTCCGTTACCACCCTCACCCGATCAAAAAACCCAAGCCCCCAAAAGACCCGACGCTGCTTGGAGTTTCAGGATACTCTTGGCTTGCTTCTGGCTGCTCTTAGGGCTTTAACCTTTTGAGGTTTTTGTAGAGACTACGATAAGAAGCCTAAACGTTAAACGTTTACGAGGGGTTCAGTCAGCCGAGTACTTAGCAACCAATTCTAAGCGTAGTCCTAACCCACTTTATAAGGCCCTTGAGTATCCTAATGGGGTTATAATTGGTTTATAAGTACAGTTATCATTGGGTGGCTAAGTACCCTGAACCTCCAAGTGTGTCACCATGCAGACTTAAGCTCTTATGTCCCAGCACGCAGAGTGGCCCCTTCTTCCCCTTTGAGCGACGCTCCCCTTTAAAGCCCTAAACCCGAAACCCTACACCCCAAACCCCAAACCCCAAAGCCCCAAGCCCCAAACCCCAGACTCCAAACCCCAAACCCCAAACCCCAAACCCTAAACCCTAAACCCCAAGCCCCAAACCCCAAACCCTAAACCCCAAACCCCAAACCCTAAACCCTAAACCCTAAACCCTAAACCCCAAACCCCAAACCCTAAACCCTAAACCACAGGACAGGTGGAGCAGGACATCTCGAACTCCCAGGTCGCGAAGCAGCGGCTTGAGGAGGCCCTGTACAGCGCCATCCGGGAAAAGACCTGAGCTGGGTACCGATGAGGCTTAGGGTTTAGGTTTTAGGGTTTAGGGTTTAGGGTTTAGGGCTGTAAAAGACCCAGAGGCCTGCTTTGAAAGTCTTTGGCCTTGCCCGGCTGCTTCGCAAGTCTCACCCTCGGCTTAGCCCATCTTGGGGCATTGCTTAACGATCACCCGACATCCGCACAGCAAGGTCAAAGAGGGGTTTAGGGCCCAGGGTTTAGGATTTCGGGTTTAGGCCTAGGGTTTAGGGTTTAGGGTTTGTAGCCCAGTGGTACCCTGTTGCCGTTTATGGTTACCTGGCTACCAATCTTGAGGGGGTCCTCTTGGGTTTAGGGTTTAGGGTTTGGGGTTTAGGGTTTCGGGTTTAGGATTTAGGGTTTAGGCCAGTTTAGGCCCAGAGTGGGCTGCGCTCCCTCTTTTTATTGTTGAGGGGACCCGGTTCCCCTAGAAACCGTCTTTAAGCAAGAAAAGGTAGGGCACCGGCCCCTTGAAAATTCCTACGCTCCCTTGGGATCTAGAGCCATTTTGGTTCCCCCGGTTGGGTTCTTCTCTTGGTACAAGAGACTCGAGGGCCCTAAACCCCAAATCCTAAACCCTAAACCCTAAGCCCTAAACCCCAAACCCTAAACCCTAAACCCTAAATCCCAAACCCTAACCCTAAACCCTAAACCCCAAACCCTAAACCCTAAACCCCAAACCCTCAAGGCCCTGCACTCCCCCCGGCATCCTTTTGAGGACCTGGCGGTCACTTGCCACCAGGGTGAGAACTGTAAGGCGACAGCCGCGCACCCTGGGTTTAGGGTTTAGGTTTGAGGTTTGGGGTTTAGGGTTTAGGGTTAGGGTTTAGGGTTTGGGGTTTAGGGTTTTGGGTTTTGGGTGCGGTTTCGAAATCAGAAAGCACGGTTTAGGGATTACGGTTCAAGCCAGAAACCCGTTGGGCAGTTCTTCTCGTACCGTAAACATAAAGCTCCGCCTTGGCTTGGCAGGCCAGTCCTTGCAGTCTTCTGGGAGCTTCTGCCCGGGTTTAGGGTTTAGGGTTTAGGGTTTAGGATTTAGGGTTTAGGGTTTAGGGTTTAGGGTGAACCCAAAACTGAAAGCCTTGCAAGTACCCGAAAGATGGATATCCTACATATGACCCTACTTGCGCGCACTTTAAAACCATACTCATGAGCACCCTACCGAACCTTCAAAAACAGCGCCCGGCCCCCTTGCAACCCTAAACCCTAACCCCTAAACTCGAAACCCTAAACAAAATACACCCTAAACCCTAAACCCTAAACCCTATACCCTAAACCCTAAACCCTAAACCCTAAACCCCAAACCCCAAACCCCAAACCCCAAACCCTAAACCCTAAACCCTAAGCCCAATGGCTTAGGTCATGCCCTTGAAGGGCGATCGGCTGCTCTCCTGCCCTTTGCCGGGAGCTCACCGGGCTCGGTGTGGAAGTTTAGGGTTTAGGGTTTAGGGTTTAGGGTTTAGGGTTTAGGGTTTAGGGTTTAGGGTTTAGGAGTTCGGTTGGAGGGGGGTGGGGGGTGGGTGGGTGGGAGGGTGGGAGGGTGGGAGGTGGGAGGGGGGGGTGAGTTCGGGCTAACCTTTACCCTTAAAACCCTAAAACCCTAAAGCCCTAAAACCCTAAAGCCCTAAAGCCCTGAAACCCTCAAACCCTAAAACCCTCAAACCCTAAAACCCTAAACCCTCAACCCTAAACTTGAGGATGGTTCGAGGCTATGGTTAGAGGGTGCTAGGGTTCCTTAGCAAACACTCCCTCGAGCGCTCAGCAGGAGAACACGAGGAGTACTTGAACAGTTGGCTACAGTCTCTTGAAATCCCAGCTCGAACCTTGTATCTCAAGCCGCCGATGTACAGCTCGACGCGCTGAACCACTGCGCTGCTCAACACGGAGTGCGGGGATGCAGGCTTCCCTACGCTAGAAGCGTGCAGGCTAAGGTGTCTGACACTTGCTGCACGCGGAGGCCCGCAAACGCAGAGACTGCAAGACCAACCATCATGGGCTGTCGGTTTGTGATTGCAAAGGAGGTAGGCTTCTGGCTAAACCCTAAACCCTATATATACCCCAAACCCAAAGCCCTAAACCTAAACCCTCACCCCCAAACAGCCCCTGCCCAACCCCCCCCCCCCCCCCCCGTCCCCCAGAACCCAGGGGCTGAGAGGTTCTAAGGGTAGTTACATGGTGCCTTAATACGGTCCCCTTACCTTCTTTAAAGCATTCTGAAGTATGGTGTCTCGGCTTTTACAGGGTTTAGGGTTTAGGGTTTCGGGTCCCCATCTGAGGGCCCACCCTAGAGTTGTCAGGTGTAGGGCTTTACGGCCTTGACTTTAGAGACAAACCTTTTGCTAAGGTTTGCTGCCAATGGGCTGCAGCCTCAGAGCAGGGCAGTGACCTAGGGTTTACGGCTTAGGGTTTAGGGTTTAGGGCTTAGGGTTTAGGGTTTAGGGTTAAGGGTTTAGGGTGTAGGGTTTAGGCTTTAGGGTTTAGGGTTTAGGGGTCCCATCTTTGACAGGCGGGCATAGGAACAGCCGGGTGGCTTGTGAGGTCAGAGACTCATATAAACGCTCAGTTGAGGGTTTCGGGTTTCGGGTTTCGGGTTTCGGGTTTCGGGTTTCGGGTTTCGGTTTAACACCCCAAAACGGAAACCCCTCCCTCAATCCCGAACCCAAGCAAACCCGAACAGCTCGACTGAGCCTAGGAAGTGGCTTTAGCGGACTGTGGATCTGGTGTCCGGGTTTCAATGCAGGGGGGCGACAGCATGTCTGAAGAAGCCAGGATTTGGGGTGTCAGGTTTAGGGTCCAGGGTTTAAGGGTTAGAGTTTAGGCCTGGGACATAGCCAAACTGTAGCCTTGGCTTGTGGGATTGAGCTCGGAGTACAAACCCCAAACCCCAAACCTCAAACCCTAAATCCCCAAATCCTCAACCCGGAGCCATGATGTAGAACTTGATCGTTTGCGTTCTATTTAGGGTACTTATAGACCTCTACTTACAAGGAAAACCGTCACCCCTAAACCCTAACCCAAAACCCAAAACCCAAAACCCTAAACCCTAAACCCTAAACCCTAAACCCTAAACCCTAAACCCTAACCCTAAACCCTAAGTACCCATGAAGCTTCACGTACACCCGTGGTCAGGACCAGCCATCCATCCGAGGGGGCACTTGGCCGCGAGTGGCTGGAGGAGAAACTCCCGAGTTGGGGTTTGGAGGTGGACTTTGGCGTTTGCTTGAAGGTTCATGGGTACTCAGAAGTTTCTATGGCTTTAATTGTCTTTAGGTTAGCTAGAACAAACCTTGTAAGTACCCATTTTAATTGTCTTTAGGTTAGCTAGAACAAACCTTGTAAGTACCCATGAACCTTCAAGTAAGAACAGTTGAGATGTGGGGAGAGCCTTCTCATCTGAGCTCGGCGCATTTTTGGTGGCGACCCGAGAGGAAGCTGTGAGAGGGTAGACTCGTTGGGGGACACCAGAAGGGAGCTTGGTAAGAGAGGGTGTAGGGTTTGGGGTGTAGGGTTAGGGATGGTTAGGGTTTAGGGCTTATGGTTTAGGGTTTAGGGTTTGGGGTTTAGGGTGTAGGGTGTAGAGTTTAGTGTTCAGAGAGAGGGAGCGGGGAAACGGGAGGGATGCAATCTTGGGCAGGACCGTGGTGGGTCGCCGCTTGATGAGAACTCCGGCGCCTTGGACCACATCAGCTCAGGTGGCCGCAGCGTAGGCCCTAAACCCAGCGCAAAAAACCCTAAGCCCCCAAGATCCTAAACCCCCCAAAGCCCTTACAGTAAAACCCTCAGGCCCCAAGCCCCAAACCCCAAAACCCCCGCAACTCTATGGTATAAACCCTAAGCCCTAAACCCTAAATCCCCCCCCCCACCTCCCTTAACCCCTAAATCCTAAATCCTAAACCCGAAACCCTAAACTAAACCCTACACCCTACACCCTAAACCCTAAACCCGAAACCCTAAACCCTAATCCCTAAGCCCTCAACCCTAAACCCTAAACCCCAGACCCTCAACCCTAAACCCTAAACCCTAAACCCTAAACCCTAACCCTAAACCCTAAACCCTAAACCCTGAACCCGAAACCCTAAACCCTGAACCCTGAACCCTGAACCCTAAACCCTAAACCCTAAACCCTAAACCCAAACCCCAATCCGAGGCCTCGGACATCTGCTCCACCCCGAGGAGATGACGTCGCTGGGCACGCTGCCTTGCCGCGGGCCCGGGAGTTTAGGGTTTAGGGTTTAGGGTTTGGGTTTAAGGTTCAGGGTTTAGGGTTTAGGGTCTAGGCTCTAGGGTTTAGGGTCTAGGGTTTTAGGGTTTAGGGTTTAGGTTTTGCTGTAAAGGGTTTTTACGGTCTTGGGGTTTTTTTGGCTCTTTAGGCTGCTTAGGGGTTTAGGCTGTCTGGGGTTTTAGGGGTTTCGGGTGTTAGGATTTAGGGTGCAGGGTTCTAAGGGATTCAGAGGCATAGGGATCTTAAGGTTTTTGGGTCTAGCCTACAAACTGCAACGAAGAACCCAGGAGCCGAAACCTTGAGCTCCAGCACGGTCAAAAAACCAGGCCTGCCAGGTTTCCCCCCCTTACATCATGATCCCTTATGTGGGGGTTCAGGATATCAGGATATCAGGATATTAGGATATTAGGATATTAGGACATTAGGATATTAGGATGATATTAGGATATTAGGATATTAGGATATTAGGATATCAGGGGTACCTTCTTGGGGGTACTTTATATAAGGGCATCCCACTACTTGGGGGTCTACATTAGGGCCCCCCCTTATTTTCGTAAGCACGTGAAGATGCCACGGGGCAGCTCACTCAGAGCATCGTAGAGCCTTGAACGTGCTGCAAGAAAAAGGCAAGCTGCGCCCGAACAGATGTTTCTCCGTGACGTAAGCAGTGCCCTTTCCTTGTTCTTAGTAGGGAATGAGGGAATGAGGGCCCTATATCATCCCTTTAAGGGTATATATATATAGGGCCCCCTGTATATAAATATAAATAAATAAATAAATATATATATATATATATATGTATATTTACCCTTAAAGGGATTATATAGGTCCCTCCTTCCCTCATTCACTACTAAGAACCAGGAGGCCTTGTCTACAATGGGCCTTAAGATCTGTCAGCCTTGCTCAGGACTTCTAGGGCTCGGTGTTTCGAGGCAGTTCCAGCCGTAAACCCTAAACCCTAAACCCTAAACCCTAAACCCTAAACCCTAAACCCTAAACCCTAAACCCTAAACCCTAAACCCTAAACCCTAAACCCTAAACCCTAAACTCCCTAAACCCTAAACCCTAAACCCTAAACCCTAAACCCTAAACCCTTCTACAGGGGGGGGGTAGTAGGGGGACCCATGAGTTCTGCACCCAGGTCCCACCAAGTACGAGGACGAGCAGCCGTCGAAGATACACGACTGCGTGGTGGCGGCGCCCTTGGCCGGGCTCGGCAAGGGTTTGGGGTTTAGGTTTTTAGGGTTTAGGGTTTGGGGTTTAGGGTGTAGGGTGTAGGGGTATCGTTCATGTATTCGTAGTGTTCAGGAGGAAATCGACACCCTAAGCCCTAAACCCCATGACTCCAAAACCCCTGATCCCGAAGCCCATCTCCGTACTACGGAAGCCGCCGACCCACAATTGCGACCCTATAGGCCTCTGAGGGTTGGCATCTGAACGCATGGCGTTAGAGGTTTAGGGCTCTTAGCCCTGACCCCTCAACCCTAAAAACCCCTATATAATTCCTATAACCCTAAACCCCAAGCCCTATAAACCCTATAAACTCTATAAACCCTATAAACCCTATAAACCCTATAAACCCTATAAACCCTATAAACCCTATAAACCCTATAAACCCTATAAACCCTATAAACCCTATAAACCCTATAAACCCTGTAAACCCTGTAAACCCTGTAAACCCTATAAACCCTATAAACCCTATAAACCCTATAAACGGTGGAAACGGAAAGCATCGGCTTTTGGGTTTAGGGCTTAAGGCCCCTCTATTGGGCTGTTACAGGGTGCCTGGACCTAGAACAGACCCCCCAAACACCCAAGCCACCAAACCCTAAACCCCCAAACGCCTAAACACTCAAACCCTCAACCCTAAACACCGACACCCCTGAACCCTAAAACTCTGAACCCCCAAACTCGAAACCCTAAACCCCTCACACCCCCAAACCCCTAAACCCTGACCTCCCAACTCCATAGACGCCCGCGAACCACCACAGCCATCCCTAAACCCTAGACCCTAGACCCTAAACCCTAAACCCTAAACCCTATACCCTATAAACCCTAAGCCCTAGGCCCTAAGCCCTAAACCCTAAACCCTAAACGGCAAGGTGGGCACGACGGCGTGAGGGTCTCAGCTTTCCTGGTCTTGGTTTTGCGGCATGCGGATTTAGGAGGGCCCTGAAGGCCCTATAGGGTTTAGGGTTCAGGGTTTAGGGTTAAGGGTTTAGGGTTTAGGGTTTAGGGTTTAGGGTTTAGGGTATAGGGTTTAGGGTTTAGGGTTTAGGGTTTAGGGTCCCTAAACCCTAAACCCTTGAAAGGGGGCGCCTGGTCCAGCTGGGGCGCGGCCTTTCGCAGGACACCTGGCTGCCCAGGCTCCCGGGGCTCTTGGAGAAGGGCTTGTTGGGTTGTTAGGGCTCAGGGGTTTAGGGTTTAGGGTTTAGATTTTGGGGGGGTTACGGGGTTGGGGGGCTTAAGGGTCTAAGCCCTGAAGCCTCAAACGCTGAGTTCCCCCCCCCCCCCGCCCCCCGAGGCCCTAAACACTGGCAAGCCTGGAGCTGGAATCTTCAGGGGTTGCTTTAGGGTTTAGGGTTTAGGGGTTTAGGGTTTCAGGGTTTAGGATTTCTGGTTTCGGGTTTGGGTTAGGGTTTTCGAGTTGAGGCTTGAGGATGTCTCCCCCGCAAACTCGGAACCCTAGCCACCTCACCCTTAGCCCTAAACCCTCAGCCGTCAAGTCCCCTGTAACTTCTAAGTTCTTCGAAAGTGAAAGACGAAACTCCTCGAAACTTTCCCTGGGACTCCCCAAAACTTTCCCCGCAGCTCCTCGACACTTTCCCGGACCTGAACCCTTGTTAATTTCAATAGGCCCTGAACCCTAAACCCTAAACCCTGACTGGGACGCCAGGCGGCTACTCCAGCGCCACGCCTCCGAGGTCCCTGGACCTGGGGCGCTTGAGCCCTGGCAGGGGGTTCACGGGTTCGGGGGTTAGGGCTTAGGGTTTAGGGTCCAGGGTTTAGGGTTATAGGGTTCAGGGTTGAGGTCTGGAGCTCTTGAGGGTTTGGAGGTTCTTGTCGGTTCTTGAGGTCTGGGGCTTCTTGGGGTTTTGGGCGTTTAGGGTTCAGGATTTAGGGCTCAGGGTTTGCGGTTTAGGGTCTACTGAAGGTTTTTTTGCGGTCTGACCTTAAGGGTTCAGCTTTTGTATATCTTATCTATAAAACCCTTAAGCCCTATAAGCCCTATGAGCCCTACAACCCTGTAAACCCTGTAAACCCTCTAAACCCTGCAAGTGCGAACCCCGAACCCTATAAACCCCACAGCCTTAAAACCCTAAACTTAACCTTAAACCCAGGGTTTTAGGGTCCCCAAAACCCTAAAACCCTAAAACCCGAAAACCCTAAACCCCTAAAAACCTAAAACCCTAAAACCCTAAAACCCTAAAACCCTAAAACCCTAAAACCCTAAAACCCTAAAACCCTAAAAACCCTAAAAACCCTAAAAACCTAAAACCCTAAAACCCTAAAACCCTAAAACCCTAAAACCCTAAAACCCTAAGACCCTAAAACCCTAAAACCCTAAAAACCCTAAAAACCTAAAACCCAAAAACCCTAAAACCCTAAAACCCTAAAACCCTAAAACCCTAAAACCCTAAAACCCTAAAACCCTAAAACCCTAAAACCCTAAACCCTAAACCCTAAACCCTAAACCCCATGTTGAGCCTAAGAGCTGACCCGTTCGCGACTCCAACCCCGGAACTCCTCAACCCCGTACCCACGTCGCCGATGACAAGAGGGTTTACAGGGCTTATAAGCTCTTAGAGGGTTTATAGGGTTTATACGGTTTATACGGTTTATGGGGTTTGTAGGGTTTATAGGGTTTATAGGGTTTATAGGGTTTATAGGGTTTATAGGGTTTTATAGGGTTTTATAGGGTTCGATAGTTTGATAGGTTTTTTTGGGTTTATAGGGTATTTTATGGGTATATTATAGGGTTTATAGGGTTTTTAAGGGCTGTAGGGCTTAGGGTAGCCGATGACAAGGTTCGCAGTCCTCGGGCGTGGCCGCTTTCTAGGCCGGCCAGGGTTCAGGGACGTCGACGCGGCTGCCAGGAGAGGGTGTTCAACGGCTCGGGCTTTTTTGGGGTTGGGTTGGGGTTGAAGGCTTAGGATTCAGGGTCCAGGGTCCAGGGTTTAGGGTTTAGGGCTTGGGGTTTTGGGTTTAGGGTTTAGGCTTGTTCGCTTGAGGGTTCGTCGGCACGTGTGACTCTCGCAATCCATGTATCCCTACTTAGAACGCTACGAATAAGTACCCATGAACCTCCAAGCAGGGTTGAGGGGGCCGCGAGCTGGCTGTCAGGCGTGCTCCATCGTGGTGTGGGGGCCCGAGCCAGCAAGTGGCGAGGGTTGGCGTTGAGGGCCTATGTCCCCCGAGTTGCGGGTTATTTCATTTTTTGGGGTTTAGGGTTGAAGGCTTTAAGGTTTAGGATTTAGGTTTTCTTGTTGAGGTCATAACCGACTCACTTGTAGGATTTAGGGCGTGAGGTCTAAAGTGCGGATCTCGAGTTGGGACTTTGCACTTTTTGGCTCGGGTTTAGGCTGTCACGCGTTAGGCGACACAGTGCGACACTCTTTGCTCAAGGGTGACAGTAACTAGAGCTTGTTGCACCCAAACCCTAAGCCCTCAACCTAAAGCCTGTAAAGCTACATGGGGCAGCGATGGATCATGGATTACACTCACAAGGTCGGGGGCCTAATGTCTATGGATTGATTGGACCAGCGAGGACTGGGAAGACTTACTGAACAAGGCTCCTTCCTCCTGTAGGGTTTAGGGTTTAGGGTTTGGGGTTTAGGGTTTAGGGTTTAGGGTTTGGGGTTTGGGGTTTAGTGGCTGCTGTGCCGCAGCCTCATGTTGTGGGATCCCTTAAGCCCCCCTCAACCTGAACTATCTCCTAAAGCCTCAGCCCTAAACCTCACAAGCCCACATGTGCGCGCCGCAAAGCTCCTAAGCCCATTTTCCCACAACCCCAAGCCCTAAACCCTAGACCCTAAACAATAAAACCCGAAACCCTAAGCCCTAAGCCCTAAACCCTAAACCCTACACCCTAAACCCTAAACCCGTGCTTTCGAAAGGCGAGCGCTGTGCGTTTGCTCGACCTGGCTGCCGGCGGGAGCACCTTGGCTGGAGGTGATCGAGTCCACGGGCGACACCCTAAACCCTAAACCCTCAACCCTCAACCCTCAACCCTCAACCCTCAACCCTCAACCCTCAACCCTAAACCCTAAACCCTAAACCCTAAACCCTAACCTAAACCCTAAAACCCTAACCCTAAACCCTAAACCCTAAACCCTAAACCCTAAAACCCCTAAACCCTAAACCCCTAACCCCCCCCCCCCCCCCCCAATCGCTCCCCCACCACCCCCCGCTTCCCAAGGAGAGCATTCGACCTGGAGTCTACCCCAACCGGCGCAGGCAGGGCTTCACCGGCTCAGGGGTTCGGTGTTCAGGTTCAAGGCTTCGGCTGCGGGGTTCGGGGCTTGTTTAGAGTCTGGGGTTTAGGGTTTGGGGTTTAGGGTTAGGGTTTAGGGTTTAGGGTTTAGGGTTTAGGGTTTAGGGTTTAGGGTTTAGGGTTTAGGGTTTAGGGTTTAGGGTTTAGGGTTTAGGGTTTAGGGTTTAGGGTTTAGGATTTAGGGTTTAGGGTTTAGGGTTAGGGTTTAGGGTTTAGGGTTTTGGGTTTAGGGTCTAGGATTTCGGGTAGCGGGCCCATGCTTCCGAACCCTGTCAGGAAGGCAAGGGACCCCATTCAGGGACATGTGGCTAGGGCTCACGGCTTAGAGGTTCGGAGTTTGATGTCGTGTTGAGGGTTCAGAGCTCAGACTTAGGGGTTAGGGTGTTGGGTCCTTGGTGCGGTGGGCTTGGGAATCAGAGCTTGGGGTTAAGGGTTGGTGTTGGTGGTAGGTTTAGGGTTTAGGGTTTAGGGTTTAGGGTTTAGGGTTTAGGGTTTAGGGTTTAGGGTTTAGGGTTGAGGGTTGAGGGTTGAGGGTTGAGGGTTGAGGGTTGAGGGTTTAGGTTTAGGGTTTAGGGTTTAGGGTTTAGGGTTTAGGGTTTAGGGTTTAGGGTTTAGGGTTTAGGGTTTAGGGTTTAGGGTTTAGGGTTTAGGGCCTAGCGTTTAAGGTTTAGGGTTGAGGGTTTATAAGGGTTTAGGGTTTAGGGTTTGGGGGCTGCCAGTGAAGCTCTAAGCCCTCAACTCCCTTAGGAAACCTGCAGCCCGAAACCCCTAAACCCCTAAACCCCTAAACCCCTAAACCCCTAAACCCCTAAACCCCTAAACCCCTAAACCCCTAAACCCTAAACCCTAAGCCCTAAACCTGAAACCCGAAACCCGAAACCCGAAACCCGAAACCCCGAAACCCCGAAACCCCTAAACCCCTAAACCCCTAAACCCCTAAACCCCTAAACCCCTAACCCCAAAACCCCTAAACCCCCCTAAACCCGTAACCCCCTAAACCCCTAAACCCCTAAACCCCTAAACCCCTAAACCCCTAAACCCCTAAACCCCTAAACCCCTAAACCCCTAAACCCCTAAACCCCTAAACCCCTAAACCCCTAAACCCCTAAACCCCTAAACCCCTAAACCCCTAAACCCCTAAACCCCTAAACCCCTAAACCCCTAAACCCTGAACCCTAGACCCTACCTCATAGATATCCTGCAGCCCTGTGGTGGAGTCTCCCGGTCCTAAGACTCCGCAACTTTGTGGCCAGGACGCCACCCTGGACAGCCCAGGCATCCCCAGGGTGAGATTTTTTGGGGGTTTAGGGTTTAGGGTTTAGGGTTCAGGGTTCAGGGTTTAGGGTTCAGGTTTCGGGGTTTAGGGTTCAGGGTTTAGTGTCCCTAGACACTAAACCCTGAACCCTGAACCCTAAACCCTTCAGGGCCCTTGTTCGGGACCTTAGGGCCCGCCCTTAGGGGGGCACTTTTGGCGCCTCGGTTTTGGATGATGTCCCCTAAGCCTTGAACCCTCATGGACATTGGTCTGTGTCAAGGGTTTAGGGGTTACGGGTTTAGGGGTTTAGGGTTTAGGGTTTGGGGTTTGGCGTTTGGGGCTTAGGTTTAGGGTTTCGGGTTTACAGCGTTTCTTGAGGATCGGGCGGAGCAAGGCAGTAGCCTGCAGAATTGTCCAGATCATTACCTATGATCCTCCGATCAGCTTACACCGAGCAAAACACGACGTCGACATTCAAATCTGGTCAGTTCTCGAAAGTATGGCCCTTTTTTTGGGGTGCCCTACATAGCAAGGGCCGCCTTGTAAAAGCAAACCCAAAAGGGACCATATGTCAGAGAAATCACCATGTCAATTACATATGGGGGGCCTCTTCTGAATAAGGATCCATGTACCCAAGTATATACTTGAGCCTCAAAGGGTCCCTATGTCGTAGCTTTAGGGCCCAAGTGTATACTATTGGACCCTTAGGGAACCCTACGCCCTAAACCCTAAAACCCTAAAACCCTAAAACCTAAACCCTAAACCCTAAACCCCAAACCCTAAACCCTAAACCCTAAACCCTAAACCCTAAACCCTAAACTACCGTCGACACCGGCCGCCCTCGGAGGGCACTTCGCCGGCATCTGCGCCGGCAAGGACGCGCTCTATGCCTTGCAGGCAGATGGGCTCAGGTTTAGGGTCTAGGGTTTAGGGTTTAGGGTTTAGGGTTTAGGGTTCAGGGTGTGGGGTGTGGGGTGTAGGGTTTGGGGTTTAGGGTTTAGGGTTTAGGGACTGGCGTGTTTGCGTTCTGGGTTTTGGGCTTTTGGGCTTTAGGGTTTACAGGGTTTGATGGCTTAGGCGATGTGCCGAGAAAAGAAGCCAGAACACTACGAGCATTAGAATGCCCTTCATAGGGAGTAAGGAACCCTTCAGAGGGAGTACGGTACCCTCAACAGGGATTGTCGTAGTCATACTAGGGATTACAGCTTTATCCCTATGAAGGACTGCTAGAAGAAGGGGGAACATCCCAAGCCCAAGCCAACTGAAAGGCTTTGGAGCGAGGGTGCAACGTCGGGTTTGAGGGATAGGAGTTCAGGCTTGAGGGCTTGGGGTTTAAAGGGTTTTAGGGTTCAGGGGTTTAAGGGTTTAGGTGTTTAATGGTTTACGGGTTTAGGGTTTAGGGTTTAGGGTTTAGGGTTCAGGGGTTTAAAGGGCTTTAGGGTTCAGGGGTTTAAGGGTTTAGGTGTTTAAAGGGTGTCAGGGCTTAAGGGTTTAAGGGTTTAGGGGTGAGGATTCAGGGGGTTGCTCAACGATGTTTTGGGCTCCAGCTTGGTCTATCTGAGTCTATCTGGCACAGAAACCTCCAAAGCTGCGCGAAACCCCATAAACCCTACACCCGAAAGCCGAAACCCTAAACCCTAAGCCCTAAACCCCAAACCCTAAACCCCAGGCCACAAACCTTCAGCCTTTGAACTCCCAGCCCTAAACCCCAAGCCCCAAAATCCTAGATGTTGAAGTCTATCAGATCGAGTTTTCGGGCTTCAGCGGTGGTTATCTTGTTTCGGAGGGGTTTAGGGAGAAGAAACAAAACGCGGCTTGCGACGCTTAAGGGTTGGAGTTTCGAGGTCTAGGGATTGGTGGGTCGCCATGAATCGACTTCGGCGCTTTGCTCCGTGCGCTCGTGGCCGGCGGCACTACACAGAGACTTGGTACAGTGGCCCAGGGGTACCCTTCCCCCAGCCTTATAGAAGCCACCAACCCCAAAAGGGGTAGCCCTCATTATATGGTTACTCGTAAGCCCTAAACCCTAAACCTTGAAACCCTAAACCCCTAAACCCTAAACCTTGAACCCTAAACCCTAAACCCTAAACCCTAAACCCTAAACCCTAAACCCTAAACCTTGAACCCTAAACCCTAAACCCTATATATGGTTACCCTTATAATGACATGGTTCCTGGGCTACCGAGGAGATCCCTGGCACCATCACGATGCCAGCAGCGCTCTGCCACTTTCACCTCGATGGCTTCTTCTCTGTCTCATAGGTGTGTGTGTGTGTGTGTGTGGAGCGAGTGAGGCTCCAAGCAAGAGAGAGAGAGAGAGAGAGAGAGAGAGAGAAAGAGAAGGGGAGAGAGAAAGTAAGAGAAAGAGAGAGAGAAATACAGAGAGATAAAAAGAGAGAGAGAAATACAGAGAGATACAAAGAGAGAAAGAAAGAGAGAGAGCGAGAGAGAGGGAGAGAGAGAGAGAGAGAGAGCGAGAGACGAAAGCAACAAAAAGAAGAAGACGAACGCAAAAACCTGACAGGGAGGGAGGAATGCCGAAGCTCCAACTAAGTTTCAAGCTGGCGCTGACCTGCTTGCCGCGCGAATCCTGCCTGAGGCTATGCGTTTCCCCTGTCGCTGCTCCCGGGCTCCAGCGCGGACTTCCGGGAGAAGTACATGCCGAAGTACCTGGCCTTCCGGAAGTTCTGTGAGGAGAAGCAGCTTTGGTCAGATTACCGGTTCAAGTCCCATGTCTTGCTGCCCTGGCTGCACGACCTGCTGGTGAAGAACGAGCGCCTGCACAGGATCTCCAAGGAGGTCTTGGGCACCGACCATGCGGTGCCTCGGTCGCGGCAGCATGCATAGCGACACCGATAGCTTCACCCTAATCCTAAACCCAAACCCTAAACCTAAAACCCCAAACCCCAAAAACCCTAAAACCCCAAACCCCAAAACCCTAAGCCCCAGCCCTAAACCCCCACCCCAACCCCGCAGCAATGTTCTTGTGGGATCTTGGTGGAGCCTACGTGGAAGTTCAATGCGTGCTTGTAAGTAGGGGTATAAGTAAGGCAACGATTCTAGTCGCAGTACGTTACGGCTTCCTTCAGGTTTAGGGTTCAGGGTTTAGGGTGCAGGGTTACCCTAAACCCTAAACCCTAAACCCTAAACCCTAAACCCTAAACCCTAAACCCTAAACCCTAAACCCTAAACCCTAAACTCTAAACCCAAGTACACCCCAACTCCCTAAACCGTGAGCCCGCAAGAGCGATTCATGCACAAGCCTTGCACACGCACCTGGCTGGTTCTCATTGCCCGAAGCCCCCAACACCCGCAACCAGGTCATTTGGTCCACCGACTGGTGCGTCAAGCCGCAGACGTCGCCGCAGCACTTCACGTGGCACCAAGTCACTTGGCTGTCGGGGGTTCGGGGGAACCCCTAAACCCTAAACCCTAAACCCTAAACCCTAAACCCTAAACCCTAAACCCTAAACCCTAAACCCTAAACTCTAAACCCATAACCCATAACCCTAAACCTTAAACCCTAACCCCCTGAAAGCCCGAATGCCGCTGACGGTAGCTGACGGTATCAGGGTAATCTAGGTTTTGGGTTGATGCCGATCATCTTGTTGAGGACGCTAATGTTAAGTGAAGTCTTGGGGCAGCACTCATTTGGGCCCAAGTAAACTACTCACTTCCTAGTTAGTTATTCAGTTGTGTGAGCAACCTGTTTTACTCTGTAGTTGACTACTACGCGGTTGCACGATATACATATATATTTGTATATAGATATCTGTAAAGAAATGGTTAAAGACAAGTATTGTTCCTGCCAAGACAAGCACCAAGGACTCCACGTACAGTAAGTTTGGCTTGGATGGCGTTACTGTGTGGCTGGCTTTTTCCCACGTGAAGCCCTCCAGTGGGCCCATCCTCTACCGGAGGTTTTCTCACAGGATGGGTCAGCTGAAGCATGTGGAAGACTCAGCGGATTCCGCGAATCTGCTGGCCTTTGGCCAGTACATACCTGAGGACGACCCGACTCCATTGATGCTGGGCCTCATGGGTTTTATCTACCAATTGCTTAAGAACCCCCCCCCCCCCCCCCCCCCCCAAAAAAAAAAAAAAAGAAAAAAAATGAAGAACTTCCTTGTAAGGGCAAAATAGGGGTTATTGTTTTTAAATATTTTTGGGGGGCCCTTAAGCAAATAGTAGCTATGCTTCATAGATGATCTCTCCCCCGGCCTCCCTCTCAAGCCCTGAAGCCCGCAGGCACAAGAGATTCGAACGATCCACAGCCACCGCCAAGGCCTTCCAAACCCTCAGCCCAAAAACATTCTTAAGCCCTAGGCCCTAGGCCCTAGGCCCTAGGCCCGAAGCCCTAAGCCCTAAGCCCGAAGCCCTAAGCCCGAAGCCCTAAGCCCTAAGCCCTAAGCCCTAAGCCCTAAACAGCCCCCAATCCTCCACCGGCCCAAGGACCTCCAGCCCTCTGAGCGCCGGGAGGAACTGGACCCACCTTCCCCTGGTGCCCGCGTGCGAGCTGAGACCAGGTCCCCGGCGTTTTCAGGGTTGAGGGTCGAGGGGTTTAGGGTTTAGGGTTTCGGGTTTTTGGGTTTAGGGGTTGGGGGTTTCGGGTTTAGGGTTTAGGGTTAGGGGGTTGAGGGGTTTAGGGTTTAGGGATAGGACTGAGAGTTTGGGGGTGATGGTCTGAGTTAAGAGTTGTGGCCATACAGCGAGCGAAGCCCTAAACCCTAAACCCTAAACCCCCTAAACCCCCTAAACCCCCTAAACCCCCTAAACCCCCTAAACCCCCTAAACCCCCTAAACCCCCTAAACCCCCCTAAACCCCCTAAACCCCCTAAACCCACTAAACCCCCTAAACCCCCTAAACCCTAACCCTAACCACTAACCCCGAACCCCAAACCCCAAACCCCAAACCCAAAACCCCAAACCCTACCCTCTGAAGACGAAGCAAGGTGAGGCGACGGCACACAGCTTCCTGACCATACACAGCAGCAGCGAGCTTGCAGTGGCATGAGTTTTAGGGTCAGCTCCCCAGCCTGAACTCCAAACCCCCGAAACCCTGAACCCCCAAACCCTCAGCCCTAAGCCCTCAACCCCAAACCCAAAACCCTAAACCCTCAACCCCGACCCCAAACCCTAAACCCCAAACCCTAAACCCTAAACCCTAAACCCCAAACCCTAAACCCTAAACCCCAAACCCTAAACCCTAAATCCCGAACCCTTGAAGCCCAGGTCAGGCGAACCAGGATCCCGAGCCGAGGGTGGCCCTGGCAGTGCGGCTCGTGGCCGGGCGCGCGGGCGCCGGGCGCCGAGACCGCGCCACGCTGCTCTGCGGCCAAGCGGAGAAGGTGGGGGTTGAGGGTTTAGGGGGGTTCAGGGTTTAGGGTTTAGGGTTTAGGGTTTAGGGTTTAGGGTGCAGGGCGCAGGGTGCAGGGTTTAGGAAGTTTAGGAATGGAAGTTTCATGGGCCCTGGATATGATCACCTGCCTTCTTGAAGGGGTTCTGAAGAAGGGGGGTTGCGAGGTTGGGAAGTTTGGGAAGTTTGAGAAGCTTAGGAAGTTTAGGAAGTTTTGGAATCTAGGAAGCTTAGGAAGCTTAGTTTTTCTCACCCACCTAAATTGGGTTGCAGAGGAAGGAAGTTTAGGAAGTTCAGGGCTTAGGGAAGTCTAGGAAGTCTGTGGGGGACTGCATTTTGGTTGGTTTTTTTCCTCCTAAGTTGGGTTCAAGAGGAGCAAGGCAGCGTTGCAACCCCTTCCCCCCCCCCCCCCTCCCAAAAACCTACATGGGGTTTCGGGTTTAATAACCCTCAACCCTCATTCTTAAAATCCGTGTAGAAGATCTAAAGGGGGTTAGTGTTTGTGGGGCAGGGTTCAGGGTCGTTAAGCCCCTTGTAGAACCGGTCTGCGCAAGGTCTGTTTCGAGCTGGAGCCACCGCCCAGGGAGGAGTTGGGTCCAAGGGAGTTCGCGGAGTGGCAAAAGTCCATGGACCGGGTGACTGGGCAAAGGATTGGGGGGCTCTTAGGGGCTCTTTAAAGGGCTCTTAAGGTTTCTGGGCTCTTGGAGTTCCGGGCTTCTTTGGGGTTCTTGGGGTTCCTAGGGATTTCTTGCGGTTCTTGGGGCTGAGCTTCTTAGTTCCGGGGGCTCGAGGGCTCTGAGGTCTCCTGCAGTTCTTGGGGTTTCTGGGGCTCTTTTGCCTCCAAGAGTTTTCAGGGTTCTTTAGGGTCCTGGGTTTTTTTCGAGTTAGCAATGGATTTTGGTTTTTGTTTGTGGCTTGGGGTCCAGGGTCTAGGGTCTGGGGTTTAGGGGTTTTGGGGTTCAGGTTTTAGATGGGTCCAAGGCTCTTTTCTTCCCATGGGGGCTTCGGCCTTTAAGGGGCGTATGGCTGAAGAAGTGCGGGCTCCCCCCCCCCCCGCCCCCCCCCAAGAGTAGTATGACTAAGCCCTAAACCCTATGCCCTGACCCCCCCGAAACCTGAGGTTCAGGGGGGTTTGGGGGATTTGGCGGGGTCTAGGGGGCTTGGGTTCTCCCTTGGTATGCCGAGGAGAAGGAGATGTACTTCGAGGGCCGCGACAAGGTTGCATACAAGTGATTCTGTCCAGGGCACACATAAGAAGGCCTCCAAACTCCCAGGCAGTAAACCCTAAGCCCTAAGCCCTAAACCCTAAAACCTAAACCCTAAACCCTAAACCCTAAACCCTAAACCCTAAACCCTAAACCCTAAACCCTAAACCCTAACCCTAAACCCTAAACCCCAAACCCCAAACCCTAAACCCTAATCCCGAAACCCCAAACCCCAAACCTGGGTTTCTGAGAAGCCCATTCTGCCGCTGTCCGCTTGAGCAGCTCCGAGAAAAAGCCAGCCGTGCAGTGCAGCAGAGAAGGGACTACCTGGTCAGTTGGTTTAGGGTTTAGGGTTTAGGGTTTAGGGTTTAGGGTCTCAGGGTCTTGGGGTTTAGGGTTTAGGGTTTAGGGTTTAGGGTTTAGGGTCTCAGGGTCTTGGGGTTTTAGGGTTTTAGGGTTTAGGGTTTAGGGTTTTAGGGTTTAGGGTTTAGGGTTTAGGGTTTAGGGTTTAGGGTTTAGGGTTTAGGGCTTAGGGGGTTGATACTTCGGGGTAGGAGCCTAAACCGGAGACATGAAAAGCCCTAGAAGGCTTTGACACCAAATCTTAAGCCTGAAGCCCTACTTTTGGGGGCCCTTTGAGCGAGTGAGGGTTTTGCGGGGGTCATTATACTATACCTACCAAGGGAACAGAAGGGAATACCATTCGTAAGTATTCCGACCCCTATAAACCCGAGCCCAACCCGAGTTAGCAGCACTAAACCCTAAACCCTAAACCCTAAACCCTAAACCCTAAACCCTAAACCCTAAACCCTAAACCCTAAACCCTAAACCCTAAACCCTAAACCCTAAACCCTAAACCCTAAACCCCTAAACCCTAAAAACCTAAACCCTAAACCCTAAACCCTAAACCCTAAACCCTAAACCCTAAACCCTAAACCCTAAACCCTAAACCCTAAACCCTAAACCCTAAACCCTAAACCCTAAACCCATGATCCACCAGCGCTGCTCTGGCCGTAGAGCCGTCGATGAAGATGCTGTACAGTAAACTCCAGAAAGTTGGAACATGGTTTAAGGATGGTTAGAGCTGGGATTCCCTTTGGTATACCTGTTTAGGGTATGGGGAGGAAGGATGTTCTAACTTTTTGGAGTTTGCTTTAAGGTGTGTGAGGGATTTAGGCTTTTGGTGATTTCGTGGGCTTGGGGATTTTGGCACCCCAAATAGGGAAATTAGTGAGTTCGGGGTTCATGAAGTTTTGTTCAAAGCCAAAAGTTGACCTGAGATACCCTACATAACAAGCCACAGGATACCCGAAGAAGCATTCAGAATGCCAACAAAAAACCTGGAAACGGAAAGCCTTGGATTGTTGAAGGCGTTCTGGAGTGCAGCACAAAGTCCTGAACCTTTACCGTACGGTACCTGGAGGTTCATGGGCACATTAGGGTTTCTAAGTGCCCTTGCGAGCTACCAGTTACAACTAGCTAGAGCTGTTCTTTGTGGTACTTTACTGTAACTTTAGATCCTTACCCTTTTTGGGTTCATTGGCCTTCTGAATGAGGCGGCAAAAAGTTTAATTTTTAGCTACCCTCCTGAGTGCAGCCAAGCGTTGTTCGCCTACCTCCAAGCACTGGACTCCCTTGTCCGAGGCTTCATCGACCTCCTACGCTTAATTCAACTCGGAAACCCTGACCCTTACATCGCAAAGTCCAGAATTCCAAACACAAACGAAGAAACGCGAAGTTCTCAACCCCTTAAAGCCTTAAAGTCTCCGAACTTGGGACCACTGGGGCCTCTTTACCCACAGTTTTTTATGGGTCGCGGGATACCTACTAATTACAGGGCTTCTACTTATTAAAAATGATTAAGCTGCAGGTAAATGGAGTTCGCAGGAAGCCCTGAAGCCCTGAAGCGCCTTTGCCGCGCCAGGCCGGCCCCTCGCCGTCAGTCTGGCGATTTCAGCATCCTCGGGTCAGGATTGAGCCCTAGGCCAAGCCGCATTAGGCCCACTTGATGCCAAGAGGGCACCCAAGAGAGAAAAAAAAAAACAAGCCGTAGCCAAGAGCCCTAATCCTAAGCCCTGGTTTGGGTTCAACAAGTTCATCCCTAACAAATAAAAGCCTACAAGCCCGATACAACTGCTTAACACCCTAGTCCCGACGATTATAATCCTAAAGCTGCCTCAGACGCCGCGATGAAGCAACACATTTTGCCGTCGGAGCAGAGCACTTGTGGGCACAGCCTTTAAAGAAAAGGGGTTTGGGGTTTGGGGTTTAGGGTTTAGGGTTTAGGGTTTAGGGTTTAGGGTTTAGGGTTTAGGGTTTAGGGTTTAGGGTTTAGGGTTTAGGGTTTAGGGTTTTTGGTTTAGGATTTTGGGTTTAGGATTTTGGGTTGAGAGGGGGGAGGTGAGGGTGTAAGGCAAGAAAGTAAAAAATGGATCAAGGTCCAGGTGTCCAGGGACTTCTTGTTGAACATCAGAGGAAGATCAAGTAGCAATAGATGGTGGGTTTTAGGACCAGGTGTTTAGGGCTTGGGGAGTGTAGTTTCGGGTTTTGGGGGGGTTTGTTGTGTTGGTTTATTCGGTTAAGGGTTAAGGGTTAAGGGTTTAGGGTTTAGGGTTTATCTGTTCAAACCTGAACAGGGTGTAGGGTTTACATGAGACCCGAAAGCCCTGACAAGCCGATAGGTTAAGGTTGTCTAAGGTGGGGCTGCCCCCCAAGACACCAAACCCTGCACGCTAAACCCTACACCCTACACCCTACACCCTAAACCCTAAACCCTAAACCCTAAACCCTAAACCCTAAACCCTAAACCCCAAACCCTAAACCCTAAACCCTAAACCTAAACCCTAAACCCTAAACCCTAAACCCTAAACCCGGTATATCACTTCTCATAGCTCGCTCCGCACCGGCACCTCCATATCTTGAGGCCCCTGCGGATCTGTGCAAGAGAAAACTTCAGGGTTTACGTGAAGGTTCTAGGGTTTAGGGTTTAAGGTTTAGGGTTTAGGGTTTGGGGTTTAGGGTTTAGGGTTTAGGGTTTAGGGTTTAGCGTTAGTTAGGGCTACTGAAGAAGTAGGGTTATAAGTGGGGGTATTGTGGTTACAAATAAGGTTCTACTTAGGGTACTTGGAGCCCCATGTATAAGGACCCATTAACCTCCAAGCAGGGTTTTGGGGTTCACTGTAGGGTTGATACGGGTTAGAGAGCTTGTAGGACTTGTAACGAAGGATAGGATAGCTGGGGTGGGAGCCGGTATATATATAGTCAGATCGAAATCGATAGCTGCGCCTGTCTGCGTAGACATCCGCACTCGGCCTCGCGCACCCAGTGCTGCAACTCCTCTTTCTGGGAAGGCCGCTCAGCGGCGAGAAAAAGCAACTGCTGTCCGAGAGTGACGTGTCTGTAGGAATGTGTAGTTTTATGAATGCCATAAATGGTGTCATAACCGTAGTTCCTGCTTATAACCCTACTTTTCAGTACCCGTGAACCTCCAAACCCCAAACCCCAAACGACAAACCCCAAACCCCAAACCCCAACCCCCAAACCCCAAACCCTAAACCCTGAAGGTTTGATAAGATCAACCCGAAACCCAAAACCTTAAACCTGAAACCCTAAACCCTGCGGGGTCAGGATAATAGGACCAAGGTTTGAACATCTTTCTTTAGCATGTACATACATGTATTCACGTAAACAAACATACAAACAAACACATAAACAAATGACTAAGACATATTCATATATATATATATATCTATATATATATATATTACCCATACTTAATATACATAGATAGATAGATGGATAGATAGATAGATATAGATCGATATATGTGTAACATGTATATATCTATAGTCTATGTATGCAGACACATATACATATGTATATTATATACCCCTTGAGCATACAGCCAAAGCTCGTCGTTGGCCAACGTTCCGGTAGCTTCCCGGGCGAGGGATGGGACGGCTGCGAGTATTCGGGAATCCAAAGGTTTACTGTTGCGGGGATGGCGGCCCACGCCCGCAGCAGTCTGGCAGCAAACGTAGCTTCGTCGCGTTGCGCAGCTAGCACAACAGCTTCCAGTGTCTGTCCAGCGCTTGACAAGCTCCCCGCGTGCTTCGTCGGTATCGTTGCGGCCCGCGCTACGTGTGTCCCGAACCGTCGGGCACAGTTTGCGAAAGCGCTTCGTGCAGCAACTGCGTGACATTACCGGCCTCGAACGCAGCTCACGGCTTTAATGAACAAATTCATCCGGCCTCGTTGCCAAAAAATTAGGGTACCCAGAGGCGTACAATTCAGCATCATCATTTCCTTGCGCTCTCGGACCAACGCGTCCCGCACGCGACATGCCTCCCGCACCGCCCAAGTGTGCTCTCGAACAACCGCGGAACGCAGGATAAACAAACTGGAGGCTGGCGACCGGTGTGCGCATTACAAAGCTTCGTTGTGAGGTTGAGGGTGGGCTCACGGAGTTTTACGGAGTTGGCCACTGGAGCACGTGAGAGGCAAAATGCGGTTTCTGAACCCGGCCACATGCACGGAAGTGGCATCCGTGGACACAGCAGGACTCCTTGTGGAATCGGCGGGAAACGGCTGCGGATACAACTGCTCGGATCAACGAAAAAGCCGGTCGAATGCAGTAGGTTGTCCGCAAACACCACGGAGAGTGTCAGGCGATGAGACCCTAAACCCTATAAACCCTAGACCCTAAACCCTAAACCGGGAACCGTGAAACTGCGCGGAAACAGCGATTGGACTGCCGAAACTGCTTGGCATCGAGTCGGGGAGGCGTTTTTGCCACGGTGGACTTCTAAGATGGCGAACCGAGGTTGCAGGTGGGGATCGATAGACATGCGCGTTGGGCTATGCTTTGCACGCACGTGCACGTGGCTCAAGTTTCTGCGACGCGCGGCGTGCGCAAGACCATTCCCAAGGGTGCGGTCGTACCATGGCCTGTCGCGCGTTGCTCGCGTACCCACTACACGTCAGGGAGTGGACATTGGCTCGCTCTGTCCGTTTCAAGACGGCGCGTGA